GCACCTCCTTGCTGGAGAGCAATGAGCTGCCTCCTGGCACCACCTTCCCAGAGGTGCTGATATTGCCGGGATGGCCAGCACGCCTTTAGCACACTGAATTGCATCACGTAGATCACTGGGTCCCTGAGAGGGACCGTAACGGCTGCACAAATACTCTACTGCTGGTTTTCCTGGACACAGTCAATTAAGTCTGCATTAGGCCTGTGTGGGGGCTGTAGCGCCAAAATTCAAGGTCAGCTCCCAGCAGTTGGATGCTTAAGAGAGGCGTTGTTATTTCAGGCCCTCTGATGCAGCATCTGCACTTTCACATGATAAGTGAACTGGGAAGGATTAGGAAAAAAAAGATCTGGGGTCTTGCAATTCTCTGTTCTCACAGAGAGAAGAAGACAGAGGCTGCAGGGGGAAGATCCTATACCCTCCCCCTTGGAAACTCTCCCTATCGCCTCGAAAATAACACAAGAGGAGTAGAAGTAAAATGCAGCTCTAGCACTGGATGCCGACTTTTCTTCTCAGGCTCCTCACTGGGGAAAGCCACCCAGGACCTGGCAAAGGTCCTCAAGGCTCTGGGCATGGAAGAGCCCATCCCCTCCTCTCCTTGCTCCCTGACTAGACCTCAGTCTCCAGTACCGTGATTCACGGTCTAGCCTGCTTCTCGTTACGCCTCTCTTGCCTTCAGTTATCTTCAGCTGCTTTAGTGTTTGTTTGAGGCTGTTGTTCCCCATCAGGAATGAGGTTTGCCCCCCTCTTCACTGCCTCTGCAAAGCTGTTTCCGCTGATGGCACGGGGCTTCCCCAACCCGCTGCTTTGCAGAGCTGGGCTGGGAAGTGGCAGCTCACCGTGCCAGCCTGCAGAGCTCCTGCTGCCCAGCATCAGCTGCACCATCCCTCTTACCATTGCCCAGACGAGAAGGCAAGATTTGTGAGGTGTTAGGACATGGGCAGACACTTTCTTGAGCTACAAGAGAGCAGAGCTCTTTGAGTTCAGCACAAATCAGCCTTAAAAATACCCAAAGCAGGGGTGAGCTGGATACCGCCCAGTCACAGACCAGCCCCACATAGCAAAGAGCAGGCACCCCCTGCAGCTGCAGCCCCTGTGCCACGCTCCCCTGTCCCCGTCTGCCCCTGAAGGGGACACAGCTTTATTTGGAGAGACACACCGGCAGGGAAACAAATCGCTCTCCGCCCCACGGCAGGTGCCTGGCCCCACCTGTGCCATAAGGTCTGTTGTGTCCCCAAGGTGCCGGAACCTGCTCTGATGAGAGGCAAAATCACTGCCAGGGAAGTGCCAGAGGTGTCACATCAGTGTCCCTGTCAGTGTGGGCAGGGGAGGGTCAGTGGCCCCGCTGGCATCTCACTGAGGCAGCACAGAACCAGACCCCCCGGCTCCCCAACACGTGCTCGCCCAGATGTGAGCTACAGCTGGCTCCCGCAGGCACCATGGCAGGGCACAGCCCTGTCCCTGGGCTGCGGCTCCTGCTGTCACTAACAACAGCCCTAGGGAGTGATGCTGAGGGCAGCACCCTGCTGTAAGGCTTCCAGTAAGTCTCCTCCTTGCCAGCTGTGGGCTCAGGGACACATCTGTCCCCTGCTTCGGATTAAGGCCTGCCCCGTCTGTGCTGGGAGGAAGACGCAGGGCCAGGTGACGCACACCCACCCCTCCTGCTTGCACCCTGCCTTCTCCAGGGGCTGAAGCAACATCAACAACCTCTTATAGATCAGCCGAAGGACCCCCCAGCCTCCCTTCTGCCTCTCTCTCCTTTTTGCTTCTGTACAGAAAGCCGCAGAGCCAGGGCGGGGAACAGCAGCAGTTTAGTTTCTGAAGCCGTCCTGCTTCCTGTCCTTGCCAAAACCTCTTCTGCTTCCCTGCCCAGGGCGTTGGGGCTCGCCTGCACCCGGCTGCCAGAGGAACGGGGGATGTTGTTTGTGTATTTTTTTGTCACAGTGATGAACTGTTTATAGCAACTATCGCTCCGCAATCCGCAAACTTCACTGATCTCAGCCCAAGCTTCCGAAATAACGGCAGAGGAAGCACAACCCCCTTCCTCCGCGGTCAGCAACGACAGTGTTTCAGGTCATCAAAGCAGGGGACCTTTGTGCTGGGCATCACCATGCTGGAGATCACCCAACACCTTTTGCTGTCCCACCTTGGAGGCTGGGACCATGCCCTGACCCCACCTGCAATGGCAGCGATGTCCCCCTGGCTGTTGGGTAGCAACCAGGAGGGACATGGGGGCTGCCAGCCACCTCCCAAGGATCTCCTCTCTGCCTCAAGAGTGGGGGGAGCACCCAGTAGGGCACATCGAGCCAGCATCCCTCAGCTGCTTCCAAAAAAAGCTGGGATTTGCCCTGAGCATCCTGTTCTCACCAGCTCCCCTGTTGCAGGAGCAGCACAGCCAGGGCATGGCTGTGATGGGAAGGAGGGACCTTCCCTGCCTGTTCCCACCTCCACCGGGGCTTAGAGCTGAGAGCATCGCAGATGAGCTGCCTGTCTGTGCAGCTCATGCTCCAGGCCACGGAGATTTACTGTTCAAGGGAGAAAATACTGTGTCTGCTGACAGCCCACCTCCCCGGCACGCTGGTCGCTGCTGAGCCTCCCCACACCTCGGAGGGGAGCGCCTGGCTCGGGCGCGGATTTCCTATCCAAATGCAATACAGCTGTTTCTGCTTCCTCTCCAAAGACCAAAGCGAGTTTTAAAAAATCGATTTATCATGTATTTTTTTCTCTGACTGAGGCTCCTCGTGGATGTGGCCCGTGCCTGAACTGCCCAACCTCACGGCATCGAGGCTGGAGCAGGCAGAGAGCATGACTTGTACAAACACAGCACTCGGAGGGGAGTATCCTGACAGCAAGTCCTGGGGCTAAACGCCATCTCAGTGGGAGTGCCTCTTGCAGGGCAGTTAGAGAAATAGGACAGTCAGAAGGAGCTTTTTTGGGAATCAACACCCAAGGGCTTGTCCCCAGAACTCGCTTGAAGGACTCCCAGTTTTTACACACCCCCCAAGGCATAGCATGGAGTGAGGCAGCTTCAGGCTCAGGTTTAGCTTCTTTGCAGGTTTCCTGAGGCTGCGCAGACCTTGCACAGTGCCTACCTCCCTCCATGCACCCAGGGCAGGGAGAGCTGTCCCCAGCCACCACACCTACCTTGCCAATTGGGAGCAGGGACCGACACCAACAGCATCCCCGGGGAGCTCTTCACAAGCAACACCCTGCCTCCTGCCCCAGCTGCAACACTGCCCACAGAAAGGGCCTTCAGCTGGAGGAATGGGCTGCCCTAGCCTCTCCCCAGGCAGCACTTGTTTTCCATACCTCTCACTGCTTCCCCGCTCCTGCCTTCTAGCCTGGCCCCTTGCACCTGGAGTTAGCTTCTCCTGTGAAAGGCCCTGTTAGGAAACACCAGGAGCCCAATTCATGGGTCCCTTTCCCAGCTGGACACACTTATGCAAGCCCAGAGGATGACGAGGCTTGTGTTTGCTGTTATTTTTAATGCTGAGGGTAAACGCTATCTCACTGGCATGCTCAAGGCTGCTGAGATTATATCACTAGTTTGCTTTGAAGCCCAGTTTGCAGAGGAAAACCATGTCTCCAGTGCCCCAGGGGCAGGCTGGGTGCCAGGAGTGGTGCAGAGAGGGATTGTGTCCTGCTGGCTGGGAGCTGTGGGTGCTGGCATCCCCGGGAGGCTGCTGGCGAGGGCAACGGTGGGAGTGGGAGGGCAGGGGGCCCTACGAGCCCTGTCTGGCTGGGAGACGTGGTGGTGGCCACACAGAAATAGCCAAGGTTTGCCTTTGACACAGACGCCTGCATTTGTTGTGTTAAATGGGTGGGAGGGGAGACAGCGCCGGCTGGTTGAGTTTGTCCCACTGAAGTGTGCTTGGTGGGTGCCAGGCACCCGGGAAGTTTTAAGATGCTTATCAGATCAGGCTGCTTTTGACACCGAAGATTTTGACATCAGACATGCACCTCTGACCCCTGAGGGTTTTGGCCAAGTCCCAGTAAGGCCAGCGTGACAGTAAGATGTAGAGCAGTCTCTAAGGAAATGCATGCATAAGCCGTAGACAAAAATATCTCTGAATATGTAAATGGGGTGGTTCAGGTTAGGGAAAGACATGGTTAAGAAACCATTTTAGAAACATCCCTCAAGTCAACATCTTTTATATCTGTCAGTTCTGTTCCTCCAGTGGGACAAAGAGGTTGAAACAAGAAAGAGCAAAGCACTTGTGAGCCAGCTCTCGCTTTGTAATACTGCACCTTTGCTTTTCTTACCGAGGGAGGCTGGGTCTGCCTCGCCAGCAACCTCCTCCTTACTTGGCCTTTCCGTAGGGCTGCTCAGAGCACAAGAGCAAACACCAGGTTTTCCTGATGTGACAATCAACTGCTTCCCAGCAACACACCTCCCTACCCCAACTGAGAGGTGAAAAGTGCCATCTCAGATCCTGGAGCAAAGAGCTGGGGGGCTGCCCACGGGCATGGCTTTCCAGCAGGCACTGCCAGGGGCCAGGGGGTTGTTGGGTGCTGGAGAGACTGTGGGTCAGCAGCCTCAGCCCCTTGCTCAGCAGCACTGCATGCCTCTGTCTGAACCCTGTTACAGCCACAGGCAACAAGAGGTGGCTCATGGCAGGAGCCACCACACTTCACTCTTCTGCAGACGTCATGGCACAGACCCAGCGAGGCTGTAGGTGGGGTATGACCTTCCTCCTGAGCCCAGGAAGACCACGCCTCTGGGCAAGCACTGGTACAACACCCGCCACCCCTCTCCCTTGGGGCACGCTCAGCCCCGGTGCCCGCAGCACCCAGGGGCTGCTTTTGCCCCGCGTGGCTTGGGCAGCCCCTGGGTTGGGCAACCATGGGCAGGACCCCACGCACCCCAAAAGCAAAAGCACATGGAGCCATCACACGGTGTGGAGCTCGACCCAGAGGCCACGTGGGGGTCCTTTTGGCAAGTGGCAAGTGCTTTGCAAACGAGTCCCGCCGGACCTCCCCTTACAGAGAGCACAACCACTACATGGGGGAAGCATCTTTCGGTCTGGGTTTATTAAAGACTGAGAATACAACTGTGGGCCCAGCCACAAGAGCCGGGTGCCAAAAGCAGGGCTGGGTTTTGGCTGGAAGGGTGCGGTCTCCTCTCCAGGCGGCCTTCAGCGATACCGGCCAAATTTCCTATCCGGCAGGGCATCCCAACGCCCCCACCCCAGCAGTGCTCCATCTGGAGCAGAGCCCCTTTCCACACCAGCCCCAGCCTCGGTTACTTGTCGCTTTTTAACGTGCTAATCTAGTAGAGAGAGTGAATTAAAAACAAAAAAATGCATGTCTGTCGCGGTGCCTTGGTGCTGTCTTCGGGCTGTGCTGGGAACCCTGGCCGTCAGACCTGGAGAGGGATGGAAGAGAGGGGTGGATGAAGTCAGGCTGGGCTGGGGAGTGGAGACGTCCCAGGGACAACATCATGGCTCCGGGGCACACCCTGCCTTTGCCGACCGGCCACAAAGCAAAAGCCTTTGGCGTCAGTGGCTCGGGGCTGGTGGAGAGGAGGAGCTGGCGCCCAGGAGGTTGCTCCCAAGGCCTGGCATGAGGGCTGGGAGTCACAGAGAGACACCTGCCTTCCCTGCGTCCCTCGGGGAGGGGGGTCAGCCCCACCAGCCTGGAGGCAGAAGGGGAGCTCCGAGGGGAGGCACCAACCTGAGGTTTACTTGAACGTGTGGCTCTCGGCTCCTCCCCGGCCGAACCCTGGAAGTCAAACAGAGCGTGGTCAGCATCGCTGGAGCGCACCGAGGGATGTCCCCTCGCCAAGAGACAGGAGCCCCGAGCCCCCTTCCCCTCCCTCCCACAGCCCCCCGGCCACAGCAGCCCTACCTTTGGGCCCGAACAAGGCGGCGTAGCAGGGGTGGTTGCAGTACGGCTTGCCATCGTGCTGTGGGGACAGAGAAAGAGCATCAGCCCTGCCTGTCCCCGGTAGCCCTCCAAGCTCCATCTCTGCCCATCCCACTGCTCCTGCAGTCCCCTAGCTGCGGGAGACAGGGACCTCCTGGGCAGCAAACCTCACCTCTGCATGGCCTCCAGATGTCAGGGTCTTGTTACACTTCTCGCATCTCAAGCAGGGCCGGTGCCAGTCCTTCCCCAGAGAAGTCACCTTCTCGGCTGCCACAGAAAGGAGGTGGGTTAGCTGAGGCACTGAACGGGCACAACAAGTTGGTTTTGGCAGGTTGGCCTCCCTACCACCAACCCTGGGGAGGACATTTTGGGGCATTTTCTCGAGTGTACTTGTCCAGGACAGAGGGCACCATGTTTCAAACCCAAGTGCTTGCTGTGCATGCATATCACCATGCCCACATCCAGGCACCTGGGTCTGAAACCACCCAGGGTGAACACTACTGCATCCATGGAGGTGGACCAACCTCTATCCATCTTCCAAAGATCTGGGAACCTCTCCCCTTCCAACACCAGCCTGCAAGAGGATGAATTTCTCCCAGGCCAGCTGGAGCCCAAGTGATCACTAGAGTTTGCAGGGGTGAAGGGGGGATGCTGGCAAGGACCAGGAGGCAAAGCCACCACCGTGCCCTGCCCCAATACAAACCAGTCCCCTCCAGCCGCCGGCAGTCTGGCCACAGCTCTGATTTTGCACACACCATGGCAAACCAGAGCAGAGCTGGAGCTTGGCCGGGGTTCAGGCGGCTGCGGAGGGGACAATGTGCTGTTTGCTGGGGCCAGGACATGTTTATGGAGAACAGGGTGGCTTTTAATTGCGGCACAGCGGGGGAGGTGGGTATTTTCTGCAGAGCACACGTGCCCTTCGTATTGGCAGCTGCGCTCCTGGGGATTTATTAAGTGATAAAGCAAAGCTTTCCACAGGAACCTCGTCTGAGCACTCTCCCCATGCCTGCAAAAGGAGGTCGAGCCATGGGACAGAGCCGCTGCTGACAGCACATGCGCCGGGGGGGGCCTCAACAGCCTGAAGCACCTCTTCTTTGGAGTCCAAATACGTCCACAACAACTTATGCAAGGAGCGAGCCGGCGGCTGCAGAGGTGGGAGCGGGGGCAGTGCCCAAATGTCACGAGGCAGCCCCGCTGCTGTCCCCGAGCGGCACAAAGAGCCTCCTGTGCCCGTAGCCCGGCGGGGGCTGCAGCATCCTCCCCTCGGGCAGCCCCAAGAACCCAAGCCTGGCTGTGGTGGGACCCTCCCATCCCAGGGTTTCTGGAAAGAGCTCAACCTCCCCACCTCTCACACAAGCATTGGCCCCAACACTCGGGCAGGAGCTCTGCCGAGGGGCGCTGCAGCAGGGCTCCCTCCAGCTGAGATGCCCCTGAAAAGCTGGTGGTGGCTCTGCAAACCCCGTCCCCAGTCCTCTTGGCATCTTCTCCTCCTCACCCTTGCTCTCTACAGACATGATTTGGCCAAGGAATGCTTGAGCAGGACCACCAGGCTCTGAGAGCCCCAGGGTGCACTGGAGCAGAGCTTCCTCTGCCGGCACTTTTTATCTCCAAGCACAGAAATCAGGCAGTGAGCTCAGTCCTCCAGCCACTTTTGAACTCTCCTCAGTCTCCGCATCAACAGAGGATGGTTTCGTAAGAGCAACCTGATAAGTGCGGGGGCCAAACCCCTCCTTGGTCAAACGGCCCCGTCCCCACGCCTCCACGGCCGCACCTGTAGGCACGGCAAACCCAGCTCACCCCGACTGGGATCAAAGCACATCCACAGGGACGTGGGAAAGGCAGACGCCAACACCAGGACCTTAGTAGCTCCTGGTATCAAGCCACGTGGGTAAATGAGGTGCCCCAGGACCATTGGTTGCAGGAGGGAGCCACAAACTGTATTGTGCCAAACCCTGACCTCAAAGCCTGGCTGCAAGCAGTGAGTTCAAGTTTAGGCGGAGATGTTCCCCAACCGCAGGAGCCATGTCCCCAGCAGCCCTCCAGGCAGCACCCACCTCAGACCCAGCACACCTCCCCAGGGCAGGCATCACTAACGAACAGACATGGCTCTTTGGCAGGGAGAGCAGCCCCTGTGTCTGAGCCCCCGATTTCTTTGGCGTGGCCAAAGTAGAAGTTGGGGCACACACACAAGCAGAGCAGAAATAAGGCAGAGAGAGCAGAAGTTAGTCCCACATCCCTCATCTCTAGTCCATTAAAAAGCAGGGAGTGCTTACAAGCTGCTCCCAGCAAACACCCTCCAGTTCAGCTAAATCAGGGAAGTGGGAAGGTCTGGCAGCCGGAGCCCGCCTGCTCCAGCAGCTGCTACCAGCAGGGCAAGAGGCTCGAACCCCCCAAATATCGTTGGGGAGGACAGCGGGACCACGGCACCAGAAGGTGCAAGAACCTTGAGCTTTGGGGCCCTGGGTCTGGGGGGAGGACATCTGCCTGAAACCCAGTCAGCAGCCCAACAAGGCTCACGTGGATGAAAATTAACTCCCCACGGCTGGCATCTCGCTGTGCTAAACCACGCAGGGCAACACGCGGGCAACCCACTGACCCAGGAACATGCCCCAGGGAAGGATTTATCCTTGGGAAGGTACTCGCTTGCCCTCTCAGGCTTTCAGAGCAGCAAGCTACGCTGCCTGGGCCTTTGAACTCAAACCGACACGGGGCTGCAGGTGACGTGGGAAGGAAATGGGGCTGAGCTCCCGCGCCATGCTGTGGCCCTGCCTGCAGGCTGGGGGTAACCACTGCATCCCACACTGCGCAGCAAGACACCTTCCCTTTGGGTGGATTTATAGGGCCACCCACCCGGGGCACCCATGGCGCATGGGTGCGCAACTTTGGGGAACCCCAAGAATTGGCAGTGCTGGGGCGCACAGCATCGGGATGCCCAGGACCCGTGGCGCTGGGGTGCACGGGGACCTGTAAGCACCGGGGTGCCCTCGGGGACCCGCAGCACCGGGATGCCCCCGGGGACCCGAAACCTGGCGGGGTGCAGCATCGGGGCACCCACCCCGGCTCAAGCAGCCCCACATCCCTGCGGCCCCGGCGGGATGGAGGCGGCCCGGGGAGGGAGCAGGGAGCCCTTACCGAAGTAGACCTCCTTCTGGCAGCGGGGACACTTGGGCATGCTGGCGGTCGGCTCGGCTCGCCGCTGGCTCCGGCTGTGGGATGCCCCCCGCCGGCCCCGCCGGAGTCACTGCCCGCCCGCCCCGCCCCGCCCCGCCCAGATGTGCGGCCCCGCCTGCAGCTGGAGGCGGCCGCCCCGGGGCACGGCCCTGCGGGGGGCTCCCGGGGCGCGGTCCTGCACCCCTTCCATCCCGCACCCCGACACTCCCTGTGCCCTCCACCAGTGACTGCACCCCCGCGCCCTTTGCATCCTGCATCCCTACACCCCTTGAGCCCCTACACCCACTGTGCCCCTACACCCTTCACACCCCTACACCCCTTACACCCCTACACCCTTCACACCCCTACACCCCTTGCACCCCTACACCCCTTCACCCACTGCGCCCCTACACCCCTTGCACCCCTACACCCACTGCCCCCCAAGTCCCTGCCAGCCCCCTGCCCACGCTTGTGCAGTGCAGGTGGCCGAGAGCCCTGCTCTCAATGGGGCTGGAGGTGCGAGTTGCATCTGTCATTTAACCACACTCCCATACAGGGTCATGGGGTGCTGACCACGGGGCTCAAACCCTCTGAGCACAGAGCTGTGTCTCCCAAAGAATCGTAAAAGTCGACCCTCTGACAGCGTCTCCTGCCCGTGGGGAAGTCTGGGGTATGAGATGAAGCAGGAGGGAGCTGTAGGACTGTAACCCCCCCCCATCTTGCAGGACCTCAGGAATGGTGTGGGTGTGGGACACGGCTCCGCTCACCCCAAAGAGCCAGCCCATCTGCACTGCTGACTGCTGTCATTTTATTAGGAGCGAGGACTTGCTGTTCCTTTGTGCTTGGCTGAGAAGGAAATGAAAAGCCTATCCAAAGGTCTGTTTTGTATGAAACAATCTTCCCCAGGGCACGTTGCTGTGCTGCAAAGGTCATGAGGGCTTGTGAAACCCAGCACCAAGACGCCTAGTGTCTGCCTTCCAAAATGCAGGGCACGCCTCACCCTCCCACGGGCACCAACAGGGCCCTGTTGACACCAGAACCCACTCATGGGTGCAGGAGGCGCCGAGCTGTGCCTGGAGGCACAGTTCATGGTTCAACTTGGGATTGCTTTATGACTGAGACTGGCTCCAGCCTCCCCTCCCAGCGGAAGCCCTAATCCCATTGATGCACCCCACTGCTGCCCTTGGTCCCAGGGTCACCCCACCTCAGGGTGGGGAGCATCTCCAGCACACTGCTGCAAGGGCACCGCCGGGCTCAGCAGGGCGGTCAGCATCCTGCGCCTGCAGGGACATCACTGGGAAGCCTGCTGCCCCATAAATTGTGAGTCACGCTGAGACAGTGTTTTACAGCATGGGAGGAGAGGTATCCTTCTAGGACTACTTACCTTCACCTTACCTCCTCCCAGCCCGTCCCACCCTGAGGTGCCACACACACGTAAGCACTGTGTTTCAGCCACGCCACATCCCCCTGCACCAAGCCGCAGTGCCCCACGAGCACCTGGCTGCATTGCCCAGGCCAGGACCCCCTCCCTGCACCACACTGGGTGCAGTGGGCACCCTGATAAAACGTGGGGGGACAGGGCACATCCTCTTCCTTCTTTGGGGGCCCTGCTTCCCCTTCCACATGGTGCCAGGCTGCTTTGAGGCCACTGCCCAGCTGGGACAGCCAGTCTTTAGCTGTGCTCCCTTTTAAGGCAGGTTTTGTGCCGGCGGGCAGTGGAGAACCGTCCTCTCCCAGGTCTCCTCCAGCTGGCCCAGCCCCGTGGCCAGTCCCCACAGACCACTCAGCCCACAGCAGGAATGCTCCTGTCCAGCCAGGGCAGACTGTGCCCCCACATGGCACCGCACACCGACCAACCCAGCTGAAGCAGAGCCCAGCTGCCCCCTCCCCTCGGTTCTCCATGCACTTACTGGATGGAGGCTGTCCATGCCACAGAGCAGGCACAAATCTGGTGGCAGCTCTCACAAAGCGGGTGCTGCTGAGCCACACACTGCTCTCTGCCAGCCCTGCCCACACAGGGCTTTATGCCTAGTAGCCACCCCTCTAGCCCCCCTGGTTTAGCCTGGCCGGCCCAGCTGTGGGGATGCTCACACTTCAGGCTGCCCCCCTGGCTGCTTCACAAAGGGGTGAGCCAACGCCTGGTGCTGGAATGTGGTGCACCATGCAAACCTGCAGGAATTATAGCAAGCCAATAGCAGGGTGAAGGTTTCCATGGGTCAGGAGTCCCCAGATTCTACGCCCCACCGGGGCTGGGCATGCATCCTGCTCATTGCCACTGCCCTGCTCTCACCCCATCAGCCCGTGGGCACAGGGGCCACGGAGAGTCCCTGGCAGGGAGGGAGGGAGGAAGGGCTGCAGGTGCTCCTGGAGCACGGCATCACCTCAGGAGCCTGCGGGATGCAGCCTCTTGCTCATTTTACAGGGAGCAAGTCCATAAACACCCCTAATGGCGGTGTGTGAAACCCATCAGAGCGCCGTGCTGGGGCAATAAACCGAGCCCTTGCTGGCCCAGCTGGAGGGAGCTGGCTGGAAAAGCAGCAGCAGCCCAGTTTTTGGAGAAATCACTCCTTCTGCCACCCAGGGTGCCCCTGGGAATCAAAGCCATGCCATGACTGTCTGCAAGCTGTTTCGGCATGGCATTGAGCAGGGGCCAGCCCATCCCTCTGCAGCAGGACGCTGCCCATGGCACCATGGCCAGACGGGCAAGGGCAGGCAGTGGGAAGCTCTGGTGCTGGGCAGAGACGGCTCCAGGGAGCAGCAGGACATGGGCAGGGGCGGTGTCTTCAGCAAAGCCAGGTCCCAGCCTGAGCACCACTTCAAAACAAGGTTTGTAGCCTTCCAGGGAAACTCTCCAGCCAACACCATGGGAGAACAGCCTCCTCAGCAAATCACAGCCTTATCTTATCTGGAGACCTTGTTCCAGCTAATTTACCCATTAGAGCAGAGCACGCCTCGGCTGTCTGTGCCCTCTGATAGGAATCTGTGGGTGAGGCTCCATCCCAGCGCATCAGGCGTCAGCACTCCTCGACGATGACGTAGCAAGGGTCCTCAGAAAGACCTGGGATAACCCATTTGTTTGTTTGGGTGGCGTTGTTATGGCCAGGGTCCCCTCCCTGGTCCCTTAGTGAGCACCAGCGAGAGCCAGCACCACCTTGCCCAGGTCCCTCTGCAGCACAGTCAGTGCAAGGTCCTCACAGCCCCCAAGAGCCACCCCAGGTGTTTCCCAAGCTGTTGGGGCAGGGTTTCCAGGCGAGAGCTCCTGGGCATGCCGGAGCTGTGGGCACACGCTGCCTGCCCAAATATCCCCCTTGAGCATCTTGGCCCCTGGTAATTATCCAAGTAATGACTGGAAAAGTCACGGGCGGTTTAGCTGGCGGGGCGGGTAACATAAGCCGATTTGGGTTTGTTTTGCTAACACAGCAAGAAAAAACAGCTATTTCCGTGTAGCAAAGCATCCCATCTGCCAGGGCGGCAGCTCCTGGCTCCCCTCCTGCCCCCTCTCACTGTAGCAGCAGAGGGGCTCCTGCGTTTCTCATGGCATGGCCCCCCAGCTCACTTGCACAGTGGGAAGATGATGCAGAAGGCACAACCTGGGTGGGGGGAGGGCTGGTGGCACCCCTGTCCAGTGTTTTCCCCACACCGGTACAACCACAAACCCTGCAACATCTCCCTCCCCGGCCATACTTCAACCCGCGCTCGTGCGAGTCAAGGGCCTGCTGCAGCCAAGATGATTTGTTGTCAAATATGCCCTGCCCAGCTCAGCATGGGACTCTAATTTGACAAGAAAATTACAGGGTGGCTTAAAAAGCAGCCTGGCGGAGGCTGGGGGGAGCTTCCAGGCATGTGATGCCATCAAAAGGCCCGCCAGATGCAGGCGCAGCGAAGCGGCACAGGGTACCCTGCGGTGGGGGGCCGGCGTGCCCCCCCCCTCACCCCCTCGCCTTCCATCACCTCCGGATTTACAGGCAGCTAATCCCATTACCGGCCGGCCGGGAAAAACAACAGCACGAAGGCGGCTGTCAGGGCAAATTACACCCACAGGAGAAAAAAAAACCTCTGGGTACGTCTTCATAAAGCTGAGAGGTGGCCAACAGCCCGGAGTAACTGGGAACAGGACGGGGCAGCGGGAGAGGCAGCGAGGGAGCAGGGGGCTTGGGGAAAGGGCTGAGAAAGGGGCACCTCAGGAGCCCAGCACGCTGCCACCCGTGCTGTAAAGCCCCAAATGGTTTGAGCCTGTGAAACACGCTGGCTGCTGTGCCACACGCCGTGCTCGCTGCCCTTCTGGACATGGGGCAGGGTCCGTCCCACCGTGGGACTATGGGCAATCACACAGCTGTCTCCAGCAGAAGCTGGAAAAACATTTCCAGCCCGGTGAAGGCAGCTGGCTGCCCACAGCAGCCCCTTGTGGGGTCAGCTCTCAGCCTCAAAAGCCAGGGCGTGAATGATTATCACGCGGTTAATATTACACTGCGTGAGCAATAACAAACATGGGAGCCCCGGGGCCGGCTCCCAGCCCGGCCAGGCACTGCCCCATGGCACAGGGACTCGGTGGGGACGGGGTGAGCCCCATTGCCAGCACAGCACGGGGGCTCTGCCCATGTATGGCCACGCTGGGGCTGCATCTGGGATTTCCATCCATCGGACAGAAGAGCGTGGTAGCCCTCCCCCGCCGCTCCAACCCCTCCAAATCCCAGCTACATGGAAAAAATCTCCTCCGATTTCATCCAGGCACCGTTCCCTCAGTCTCCCTGAGTACGGTCTGGCCAAAGTCTCCACCACCATCTGCTCTTTTCTGCAAGCTTTCCGTTAGTGGCATCCCAAGGAAACCTCCTGGCTAGGTCCTGCCGGGGGAGGGTTTGGTGCATTTTCCTGGCACGGCCCCGGCTGTTTCTGTTGTGGCTAACAAATCCAGCCAGGATCCTCGAGGAAGCAACGCCCGCTGCTTTGGGAAGCCGCCCAGCACCCATGAGGCATCTCCTCTGCCTGCTGGGGAGATGCACATCCATGCTGGGGGCTGGCAGGGAGCGTGGGCACCATTCAGGGGCTGCTCGCAGGGGACCAGTGCCAGGGACCACCTCCCCAGCCCTGCCCTGGCGGGGGGCACTCGCCGGGCAGTGCCGGTTGCCCGGGCTGGGTCCAGGCTGTTGACACCACACCTTTTTTTCCTGGTTAAAATTTCACTGGAGGCGAGGCCAAGTGGAAGGGGTGCAGAGGTGTTTGCTCTCTCCGTCAGCACGCTGCCTGGTGTGGTCATGCCATGGTGGCAGCTCAGGGAGGGGAGAGGGATGTAGCTGCTCCGCTGTGCCTTACCCAAGCAAGACAGAGAGTCAAGACAGAGGACAGCAAGAGGAGGAGCCGCCGGTTTGCACACCCATTAGCAGCGTGCACACCTCCATCCCACCAGCACAGGTATTCCTCCCCTGCAAGCAGCCCCAGGGCATCCCAGGAGCCCCCCCTGAGCTCCCAGGGCAGCCCCCTGGCTGCTCACCCCACCTGGTGATACAAAAGCTGCTGCAGACCCCAGCCTACATCCTTGGGGGGAAATTCCCAGGCAGCAACAAGACAGGGAGTCACTGAGGGACAGAGCCAGCACCTTCCTCCCCATTGCCACGGCCAGAGTCTGCATCAGCAGCTCTCACTGTGCTACAGCCCAGTGCACTGCACTGGTAGGGGGGACTTACAGCCCAAATCCTCCTCTGCTTGGTTTCATGCCGTTCCTGCTCCTTCATCCCTGCCCGCTCTCCCACACCCTCTCCAGTATTTACACCCAGTGCTTTAACCTCCCCTGGGGCCAAGCCAAAGCCCGGCCAAGCCAGGGAAAGCCACGCCACTTCAGGGAGCATTGAAGCAGCTGGTTCTTGGCCCTTGCGGCAGCAAGCTGTGCTTACTGGGTCGCTTTTAATATCCCACCTTAAATCACATCTTCCAGCACTTCATCCCTTTTGGCTCCTGCTTATTGACTTCCCAGCAAATGCTTTAAATGCGTCTTGCTTCGCTGCCCAGCTGTGCTGCTCCAACCCCTGTCAGGTCAGAGATGTGCTGGAGCCACAGCCATGCTGTCCTGCCATCGTCCTGCATTTTGGGAGCCCCTCCACACTTCAGTTGCTGTGTCTCCCTTTCCTGCACGGACTGTCTCAGATGTTGTAGCACAGGGCTGCCCTCCTCATTCCTATCCCCACCAAGTCCCTTCCCTGGTGTTTTCCATGTCTGCAGCCTGCTGTGCCCCTCTGGGACCAGCCTTTGTACACTCACCGGTCCCTCTTCTGTGTCACTAATGACAGCACAAGTGATACAGCCCCATTTCTGGTGGCACAGGTGCTCTCAATGACAGCACAAGTAATACAGCCCCATTTCTGGTGGCACAGGTGCCCTCACTCTTCTGTTGAGAAGCACCACTAGGTGACAATCCTGCTTCTCCCGAGCTGGCACCCATCACCACAACTTTCCTGAAAACAGGTTGATCCCACTGTCATGGCAGCTGGTGGGATCCCTGCCCTGCACCCAGCGAGGAGCTGCACGGCACGGCTCCCTGCTGAGCTCAGCTGGCTCCCAAGAAAGCTGGGAGCCAGCAAGGGTAATTGCCCAGGACAAGTTCACAGGGCTTGGGGGAATTCCAAGCAAAGCTGCATCCACTTTGTTCTCTTGTTTTCTTCTGTACCCTGGAGAGCATGGCTGTAATCACCAGAGGCCTCCAACTTTTTTATCCCACTAGCAAGTCTGAGCTGAAAAAAAATGAAATATTTGACATCCCCAAGGGAAAGGATGTTTTCCAAGCCTCAAGTAAAGGAGCATTTTCAGCTCACATAGGCCTCCCAAAAATAAATACAAAAATGTATCAAGGATTAGAGGCCAGAGCTGCCTTCTCTGCTCAAACTGCCACCCTGCTGTGTTGGTGCCCCAGTCCCCACACCAACCTGGCAGTGCAGGGACAGCCCCAACACCTCAGTGCACACACAGATAACCCCATGTGGTATCCCAAAGCTCTGCTATGTCCTTCAGCTTCCTGGTCTTAACACCCACCCTGGGGGCGGCCGCTGTACCTGGGGGCCACCTTCTGGCACAAGGAATGCCCAGCCTGCCTCACCCCATCAGGATGACGGGACAGCGAAGAGACATCACCCACCTGGAGCTTGAGCAGCTGGGTTGTCCATCTTGGGGCAGCAGGAAGCTGTGAGGGATGCAGGCTCCCCAGCATCCCCTTGTGCAGCAGAGCTACATTTTGTCTATTTTTATTTTCATTGCGTTCCTCTGATACAACTCTCATGGGGAAAAGAAAATGCAAGCAAAAAAAAGAAAGGAGGAAAAAAAAAGCCAGCCCTAGACCAAAATAGAATATTGTGTTTGATGGCAGCTGCCTGGGAGCAGGCAGCAGCCAGGATGTTATACCTTCTCTGCCCTGCCAGCCCCATATCCCTTCGCATTCAGAACTAACGCAAGTACCAGCCATCAGTGCATCCCCTCCCATCCCTGCTGCTGCCAAAATGCCTGCTTTCTTACCTCAAGACCACTGGTTAAATAGCCACCAGCAGCTCTGCATCAGCTCCTTCCCATCCCATCAGGCTCTCAGAATCAGCTGCGGGCCCCCTGCAGCGAGCATCCCACCTGGAGGCACTGCAGGGGGACCCTGCTGCGTGGTCCCTCATCGAGGGGCTGGGGCCAGTGCCCACAGCGAGGATGCTGTCAGGGCTGGTGGGCTGGGCTGGGCACACAGCGTGGGGCCAGGTGGGCGCTGGGGAGGGTGACACCACCCCACCATCACCCCTGAGCTGCAGGCAGCAGTAGGGAGGAAAATCAGCCTGGGCAGTCCCTCCGGGAAACTCCCTGCTGCAGGGGATTGCCACAGGCTAGCAAAAAAAGCTGGCATATTAAGCTCGTTAATTAATGATGAGAAGTAAGGGTTGCTGTGAGAGCTGGATTTGTGCCAAGGGCTTCACCGGCAGCTGTGCCAGGGCCCAGATGGGCAATGGGGACCCCCCACCCCAGCACTGCTGCTGCTGCTACACGGGGCAAACTTGGCAAAGTTTGGGTGCGAGGGCCAGGGGAGGAGCCGGCAGAGTGACACTGCTCTGATTCCCGGCAGCAGCCTTGTCCCCTAAAGCATCAGAGGGGTCAAGTCTCTATAGAAACCCCACCAAAACACCAACACAACCCATTTCCCGGCCCAGGAACCGCGCTGCCGAGCTCTCCATTCCTGGGAAAAGGCTGTGTCCCGCTGGGATTGCTGCCGGGAGAGGGAAAACCAGCGGTTCCCGCACCCACCACTCTGCCTGAGCCTGGGGCTTGAATGCTCCCCACAGGCACGATGCACGGGCAAAGCCAGCACCCCTGTTCTGCAGTGCCCACAGCGTTCCCTAGCCATGCCCGGGTAAGGACAAGGGATGTGGCCAGCACCCACCCACCCCTCTTCTGCACGGTGATGGAGCAACTCTGGGCTGAGGCTGCTAGGAGGATGCAAAACATCACAGGGGCCACCAGATCCATGTTTTCCCCCGCAAACAAGGATGGTGGGGTGCCCGTGTCCCCAGCGAGGGCATAGCCAGCAAGCAGCCCAGTGGGGCTCTTGGAAGAACCTGCAGGAGGGGACAAGCTGGAGCGGCGGTTCCCAGAGCCGGTGTTTGCCTTGGCAGCCCCAGCCTCCGTGCCTTGCCTTCCAGACGCCGAGCTCCTAGGGGGAATAGCTGGATGTTCTAAAACCAGGCCTGGCAGCGGGGCTCTGGTATCTGGCAGGGGACACGGCAGCTCCCAGGGGTTGGGGAAGGGGGTGGAGGAGAGGTGGCCTGTGCCCCCACACTACATTCCTGTCCCGCTGCTGCCGGGCTGGGCTTTCCCACCACACTCAGGCACCGTGCCTGCTCAGCAAGCCCAGGCTGGGGGGAATAGTGTCCCCTGCTGCATTACACCCCTCTGATAGTTTTTCACCTTGCAAAGCCAGGGAAGATAAGATCAGACATTTATCAGACAATTATCAGAAGATAATTTCAGACATGGAATGGGCTGCCCAGGGAGGTAGTTGAGGCACCATCCCTGGAGGTGTTCAAAAGACGGGTTGATGTAGTGCTGGGAGGTATGGTTTAGTGATGATGCTCCTTGTTTGTTGTGTGGGTGTCTATTTTTGTCAGTTAGGTTGACGGTTGGACAAGATGAACTTTAAGGTCTCTTCCAACCTAGAAGATTCTGTGATTCTGTGATCCCATCCCTTCCTTCCCTTCCCATCCCATCCCATCCATCTGCAAGGTCAGCACAGCCTGCTACGAGCCCATCCTGCTCACAGCCCATGAAGTGGCCAATCCCATCCCATCCCATCCCATCCCATGCATCTGCAAGGTCAGCACAACCTGCTATGGGCTGTGAGCAGGTTGGGCTCATAAAGTGGCCGTGGCTTGTGCTGCACCACGAGCAGCTCTGGCCTGGCCAGCTGGGGCTAAGGCTGCTCTGTCTTGCCCCAGGAGGAGCCAGCTGGGGCAGGACCATAGTGGCAGGGTCCCCACACCATCCCGGGACCGGAGGGATGCTGCACAGCACATACAGCTTCCCCCGCTTCCCTCCAGAGCTGAGCCACACAACGCATCTCTCAAAACCTTTATTGTCAGCAAATAACAAAAGTCAGCCCCGTGGCGGCACAGGGAGCCTGGAGAGAGCGGGGTGCTGGCACCCCAGGGCTCGCCGCCCCGGGTGTCCCTTCCACCAGGCCCCTCCACGACCGCCTGGGCAGCAGCGGGGCCGGGCGTGCACAGGGGGGACGGGTGAGACTCGGGGTGGGGGGTCGGGGCACGTGTCATTCTCCAAAGCAAGGGGCACATTTACAACTGCTTATAAATAAACAACAACAACGAGAAACCTCCAGCTCTGGGAAGCAGGCGGGCGTCCCGCCACCCAGCCGCCAGCCCAATGCGCTCTGCCCTCCAGAGGGGGGGAGCAGCCCACTCCCCCGGGGCTGTGGCCACCAGGTGCCACCCGGCACAGGCTCTGCTGCCATGGGGGAACAGGCTGGATGAGGGGCACCAACCCAAACCAGCCAGCAGAGAGGTTTGGGCTCCTGCCCGGGTACATGTACAGAGATGCCCTGGGGGTGCAAGGATGGGGATGCAGGGAGGTGCCAGACCCTGTAACCCCAATGGCGTCTGGGGTCTGCAGCGGGCTCTGGGGACAGCGAGAGCCAGGGCATGGAGCCCAGGAGGGGCCAGGAGAAGGGCAGTGCTGCCAGATGGGCCAGAGCCCTCAGGTGACACATGCCACAGCTGCAATGGCAAAGAACAGGGGTGGGTGCTCTGACCACCAGCCCCCATCCCCAACCCCAAGTGCAGGGGGCAGCACCCTCCCACTCCCATGGTGGGACTCCTGCCAAAACCTTCACCCCACTTTCAGCCCCATGGGTGCAACCCATCGTCCCCTGCACATGGTGACATCCCCGCACCCGCTCTGCTCCCTCTCACACTCGGGGGGCTGGTGGGCGGGCTGGGGAGGGCAGAGCACATTGGGAACCACCAGAGACACCTTCTACCTTTGCTTTTAAACACTGAAGCTTATATTAGAGACTATGATATATAACCCGGGGGGCAGGGCTGTCCTGCCCAGAGTAGAGACAGCAGAGAGAGCACAGGTCCGTGGCCAGCCTGGCAAGGGCCTGCTCTGGCTGTGAGCAGGAGGTTAGTACGGGGGCACAGAGCAGGCGGCCAGGCAGGGGGACACCGTCTAGGGCTGGTTCTTCACCTCGGGGTCTTTGTCGTAGATGTAGCTTCCCACAGCTCCGGTGTTGACGCCTGCACAGGGGGAGATGCAGGAGGTTGAGGACCCATGCGGGAAGGTGGCACACTCCAGGGAGATGTGCCCTCTGGTCAATGGCATACACAGGGGGAGATGCAGGAGGTTGAGGACCCGTGTGGGAAGGTGGCACGCTCCAGGGAGATGTGCCCTCTGGGCGATGGCATGAGCATCGAGAGCAGTAGCCCAGGTGGGGCGCGTGGCCCTGGACCAGCTCCCCACCCCACGCGCCCCCCAACACTCACCCTTGGGCCCAAAGAGGATCCCATAGCAGGGCTTGTGGCAGTACGGCTGTCCGTCGTGCTGTGCGGGGCAGAGAGAGAAGCGGGTCACCCGGGGTGGGCAAAGACCACGTCCCCCTGGCTGGGCACCTCTCCCACCCTGCTCACCCCCTGCAGACAGCTGCACCCCAGAACCTCTGGGCTGCTGGAGCTGCTCCTGCCAGCCATGCCCTGCCCTCTTGCAAAGGCAGAGGCTGCCACGCTGGTGTGACGTGACGCAGCTCAGGCAGGAGATGCCATGCCAGCATCCCCCATGCACACTGCCTGGGGCTCTTGGGGCAGGGACATCCTTACCTCGGCGTGGCCCCCCGGGGTCAGCGTCTTGTTGCAGCGCTCGCAGCGTAGGCAGGGACGGTGCCAGTCCTTCCCCAGCGAAGTCACCTTCTCAGCTAGAGCAAGGACAAGGAGGGGAGGTCACCTCTTTCCCCCTGCACACACGCAAAGTGGGAGCAAGCCCCATGGGGACATCACCTCTGCATGCAAAATCCTGAGACAGCCCTCTGCACCCCGGCCTCCCGTGTCTCTCCCACCCCTCTGCTGCCTCACAAGTGACAGGTTGGCTGAGGACAGCTATTAAGCCCACGCCACCCACCTGGGATGTGACAACAGGGGACAGGATGTACATGAAGCCCTGCACCCAGGAGCTCCTCCAAGTGGACCCATCCCTGCAGGCTCCTCGGGCACATCCTTCTGTGCCCCCAGCCCCACCTCTGAGCAAAACCCCCCTCCCAGCCCCTCTGCATGCCCCAGGGGTCCTGCATGGAGCCCCAGCACCATGGGGCCATGCCACCCCAGGGCAAGAATCCACTGCCCGCTCGCCACCTTACCAAAGTAGACTCTCTTGCCACAGCGCGGGCACATGTTGGGCTCCCCGGTGAAGGTGGTGACACTGGAGGCTGGAAGGAGAGAGGGCATGGGAAGAAGAGAGACATCTCAGTCAGGACACGTGGGTGTGGAGGACCCCATACACACCCTGCACCCCACACCATCACCAAACACGGTGGCTCTGGACCAGCTGAATGCCGTGGTGGAGGGCCAGGCTGCCCATCCTGCCCTGCCCCTCACCTTTGCTGGGTCCCTTGGGAGGTGCAGCATTCGCCTTCCTCTCCTCCACCTTCACCGGGTGCTCGATGGGTCCCGGAGCGGTCTGCCCCTCGATCTGCGGCTTGTCATAGATGTAGGACCCGGCACCACCGATGTTCACCCCTGCAGTGGGGCAGAGAGAGGCTGCAGTGACCTGGGAGCACTCAGGGTCTCCATCCTCCTCCCACCCCCTGTCCCACCTCCACCAGCCCCACTGAGCCACAGGGCCACTGCAGACACTGCTGCACTTCAGCCCCGGCTTGCTTTCTCCTGACTCAGGCTTTCTCCAACCACTTCTGGGATAGGAGAGTGACTCCACCTTCTGTCTGAATGGTTGAATGAGAATTTGTTTTTGAAATATTAAAAAAAAAAAAAAAAAAAAGAACTCTGGAAGAAAAACCCCCCCCCTCCACCACCCCTCACAGACCTGCATGGGTTATGCATTTGGGGATTCTGGAGATGTAATTCTTTGAAGCTGATCTTTGCTATGAATAAGATTACACACATTCCTGCTCAGCTTACTGTATTTGCTTGCATAATAGCTGCCTTTTTTTCTCCCCAGACTTTTCCTCAAAAACTAGGGCAGGGCTGCTCATGTGCATATTAAAAAAAAAAAAAAAAAAAAAGACAGCTGTCAGGACAAACCCCTCCCTCCAGCAGCTCTCCTCTCCCTCTGCACAAGGGGGCAGCAGGGTTGGGACTGCAAAGCGCTGGATTGATGCTCAGCCCATGGCAGCCTGTCTCCTGGGGTGTGCTTTCGGGGCCATGGCTCCCTGCCAGTGGGGCTGGGGGGACCTGTCCCCTCCTGCAGCCCTGGCCACGGTCACACAGGCAGGGGGGCAGCATGGACGTACCTTTGGGGCCGAACAGCGTGGCGTAGCAGGGCTTGTGGCAGAAGGGCTTCCCATCGTGCTGGGGAGAGAGGGAAGGGTTAGGGTGCTGAGCGGCGACCACGGTTCCCTCGGGATTGCTTCCGTCCCCACTGGTGTTCAGGGACCACCACGGCCATGCCCTCACCCCAAAATGCCCCCAGCCTGCGGGTCTGCCTAACCCAACCCGAGCACTCCAGGATTTCTCCTGCATCAAACGCTCTGGCTGTTCCCACACGTCGTACCACAGGGCTGGGGCACACCAGCAGCTGAGAGACATCTCCATGCCCCAACCCGGCCGTGTGCCGCTGGGACCCGGCAAGGCACCACCGTGCCCGTGAAGCATCCTGTGCAGAGCCACGCAGCACCATGGCTTCCATCCCCTCCTCCTCGCCTTGGCCAGAGATCAGAGGCCCAGGCGCTATCAGCCCCGCTATCAGCCGGGGCGATGATGGCAGCAGGAAGGCATGAAGCGGGCGATAAGCCCCGGAGCTCCTGCAGCCGTTTTCTCAGGGGCCAGCGGGAACCCAGTCCAAGAGAAAAGAAAGAGCATTTGTGGTTGGGGCAGGGGGGGGGTCAGCAGGGCTGCCACGCACACGGCTCCACGTGGAAAACCCACGGGGACCCCATCCCCAGGCACAAACCCACCCCATCCCCTGCTCGGCTCAATGCATCACCTGCTTCGTGCCCCCTGTTCCTGCCCTCCCTCCCCTCTTGATGCCAGGCAAAGGACACCTTGCCCCAAACAGGGCAGGGCAGTAGCTGAGCAGAAGCCATGTCCCTTCCCTTGCCACCTCAAGCCGTGCCGTGCCAAAGGTGAGGGCTGGCAGCGTCCGGGGGCAAGGCTGAGGGAGCGAGCGGGCAGCGGGCTGGCAGCAGGCAGCTGCCATATATTGCAAGGCATAAATACCCGTGTGCTGGCAGTGTTACCGTGCCGGAGGGGAGGGTAAACATTTAGCTGGTCTCCCCGCGACACCTTTCCAACCCGGCCGGACACGCCGGCTTGAAAGGAGGGAGAAAAAGCAGGGAAGGGCCAAATCCTGCTGTTGGCGCGGTCGGTGGGGGCTTGGCTGCCGTTCCCCATGGGTACAGAATCTGGCCTTATATGGAGAAGTAGCAAATGCCCAGGGTTTAACCCGGCCCGAAGCACAGAGCTGCCCGCACAGCCCCAGCCTCGCCAGCAGGACCGGCCCCACTCCCCCCATGGGCTGGTGGCAACCGGCACAGCTGTCCCTGCTGCCACCGCCTGCTCCCCAGCTGTGCCGCGCGCTAAAGCCGTGCTAAAGAGCTGGTGACACTCTGGCATGACAGGCACCACGCAAAACCCAGGGCACCGGGTGTCACGCGGGGGCATCGCACAAGGAAAACACACTTGCTGCCGGGCACGAGCACCGGCCACCGCCAGCGTGGCACCTTTGTGCTCCCACGTGCTGGGCAGCCACGGTGGCATCGCAAGCCCCAGGGCACCGAGAGCACCAGTTCCGAGCTAGCATCACCATGGCAACTGGTGCATCCCCCATTTTCGGTGGTTTTCACCACACTGCAGTGCAAGCTCTCAGCACCCGCATGCCTTTGCAGCCAGTGTGATGCCCAAAGAAGCCTGCCCAGTGCATGGAGCTGCTTCAAGCACTTGCCAGGGCACACCAAGTCCTGCCACAGTCTGCTGGGAGCCACACCGGGCTGGGCATCACACATGGTGCCAGCACCACTCTGTGGCTTGCCCAGGACTGTGCACGAGAGCTCTTGAGCACCACGGGTCACACCATCTGAAGCCACAGTGTGCAATCCTGGCCTTGCATGCCACAGGGACAGCCCATCCCCATGGCATCGGGTACCCGCCGCAGCCCAATTCCTGGGATTCCCCATCCCTGGGGTGCTGGAGAGGCCACCCCTGCACGGCAGCACATCTCCCCCTCCTCCCCATCCACCCCAGCAGCTCTTACCTCAGCGTGCCCACCCGGGGTCAGGGTCTTGTTGCAGCGCTCACACTTCAGGCAGAACTTGTGCCAGTCCTTGCCCAGGGAGGACACCTTCTCAGCTGCAGGGAACACGAGAGAGGGGTAAACGACTGCCCAGCACCTGGGGAAGCCAGGCTCCGGGCACCACGGGGGGCTGCTCATCAATCAGCACGCTGTGCAAATTAGCCATGCCACAGGGACCGTGCTGCTGCAGCCCTGCAGGGTCCCCGAGGCCATTCAGGCCATGTGTATGGCCCCCCACCACCCTGGGTGCCCACAACCTCTGACCCCCCCTCCAGCCCCGGCTCTGCCATGGCACAGACACCCTTTCCCACGCACCACTCCAGCAACGGTAGCGTTTCTCTCCCTACTCCCTGCATCTATTTTTACCCGCCACGTTACCCAGGGTGACCCTGCTCCCATTCAAATATTTGGTGTTACCATGCCCACCCCACCCGGTTACTCATGCCTCCCCCATGCACACGCAGCCTCCTGGGAGTCTCAGCCACAGCTCCAGCCCTCGGCCTCCCAGTGCTGGTCCCAGGACACCCGCTCGCCTCCCGACGGGAGGATGGGACAGCAGACATCCCCCAGTGTCACCAAAAATGGATGTTTGGCCCCAGAAAACACCCACCCATCTCTTGGGTGCGCGGGTGCTCACCCCTCACCCCCGGCCCGGGAGCAGGCAAGATGTGCAGACGGGTACATGGGCACCATCCCCACGTTGCCCCGGAGTGACACAAACCGGCAGAGCAACTCGCTGCCGGCACCAAAAACAGTTTCAAAGCATCAGCGGGCAAATTCAGGGAAGGAAAATGCTTCCCGACCGGTTACACAAATGCACCTCCTCCGGCTGGCCCCGAGCTGTACGTCCCCAGGAGCACCCCGGGAGGTAACACGGTCTGCCAGTCCTCATCCTGCATCCCCGGCCTCCTGCTGTCCCCCCTCCTTGGGGGGCCAGGTGCTGCCCTGTGCCCCCCACCACTTCCCGTGCGCCCTCCCTCTCCCCCACACATGTGTGGAGACAGCTGGAAAACAGCATGATCCCGTTAAAGCCACCGTAAAACTAAATCAGAAGAGCCAAATAAAATATTTAACAAGCAAATAAAAGCGAAACCGGAGCCTGGCCCTGCTCTACAAGAAGACCTCCTCCATGACGGCGGGTTTCCCAGCCCTATTTTCCCTGAAGGCCTCAGCAAATGTCACCTGTTTGCATCAGGTCGAGATGGGGGTCAAGAGCTCCCCGAGGGCAGGTCCTGGCTTCCAGAGCCACCCTCCTCCCAAGGCAAACAGCTGTGTCCGGGGCACGCCACAAGGCCAAGATAAGCCTAAACAATGGCCATTGCCACCCAAAAAAACAGCCCTGGTGCAAAGCAGGGTGGGGGGTGGCAGAGGAGGGCAGTGCGAGGGGGCAGAGCCGGAGCCATTTCATTGGGGTGCAGGGGGGAGCATCCCCAAGCAAGCACGTGAAGGACGGGCACGGGGAACCAACATCAGCTCTGAACGGACCTCCTGGTGATGCCACGTGTGAGTCCAGGTTGGACCAAGCCCTAGGTGGGAGCAGATGGCTGGGGGAAGGGATGCCCCTCTGCAGCTGGGGCTCTGTGCCCACCTGCTCAAAGCTGCCAGGGCAAATCCCTGCTGGCCCCCAACCCCGGGTGCTCAGGAGGGCTCACCCTTCCCCAGCCCCTCGCAGCAGGGAGCATGTGGGGAAGGGGAAGGGCCATAGCCTGCTCTCCCCTTCCTCCACAGTCCTCAGCTGCCCCTGGGGGCAGAGGACCAGCCCAAGGGCACACAGCCCCTAGCCCCCCAAGCGCTCCCCAAAAGCGAGGGGGACACGGAGGTCCCAGCACCCCACGGCCTTGGGGCAGTGGCAGGAGCCCTGCATCCCCCCCCAGCCGGAACCAGTGGCTCCCCGGGGGTGACCAGGGAGGGAAACGGAGCGTGATGGCCTGAAAGCTGAGCCAGGGGCTCGGGGCCAAGGGGCCGCTCGGCTTTGTCACAGCGGATGCACAGCCCGGCCAGGCTGCGCTTCGCCTGCGTCACCCCCGGCTCCCCCCAGGCCCAGCATCCTCACGGCCCCGGGTACAAAGCAAGGAGGAAACTCCCGGCGGATGTTTTCCAGAGGCCATTGCAATTACGGCCAGCCACAGCCCACACCAGCTCCTTCCTGCCCCCGCGAGATGGGATGCCCCCCCAGTGTTCCTCCCCCGTAATATTTCAGGCAGCTGTAAATCCCTGCTGCTCCCTGACAAACACACCCCCCCCCCCCACCCCC